CGCGCCTGCCTCACCGCTCCGGCGGCCGCCGCGGCTCTCGCTGGGTCGTGGGCGCGGCGACGAGCAGGGCCCAGGCGGTGATCGCGTCCGAAGCGGCGGCGGGTCGCTTCCGGTGCGCTGGGAGCCTCGAAGGATTTCGTGGTCAGCAAGCCTGGCGTCTCAAACACCATGTCCCCCGGGGGCCGCTTCTCTTGTGTGGTCACCACTGGGCGGAAGACACGTCCACTCACTCCGAGAGCGCCGGCGAGTCAGCAGCGAACAGGCTCCAGGCGGCCATTTTGTAACTCGAATCTACCCCTCAAATCCTATTCGAAAAAAAGGGAGGAAACAAACGCCCGCCTCCACCTATTGCGCAAGCGCTTTGGCACCTCTGGCGGCAGTCCCTCCTTCCTTGGGCCATAGGACGTTACATGGCGCATGCGCAGATCCACTTGGAAACGGTCGCTGGGAGGGGAGCGCCTGTCTCACGCATGCGTACTCGTAGGCGCCGGCTGTAGCTGCCAGGAGGACCCACACAACTACGGCTTTTTTGCGTTGGTCACGTGTCGGCCACCGTCCCCTGGAGGCGGTTCGTCCTTAGTCAGTGGCTGGGTTCGGGCTCCCGGGAGCCTGGCGAGGAGCTCGAGAGGAATGGGCACTGAGGGAGCTTGACTGGGGTGTGGGGTGTCACCGGGATATGAGGTGGCAGGCCAGAGGCACGGGGGACGGGGCGGGGACGCTGGGACTAGCAGGTCGCCCACTCAGCTGCCGCCTTCGGGAGTGGGGGATGGGCCCTTCCTCGCCGGCAGGTTACGTTTGGCTTCCGCTGTGCGTGCGGCGGAGATGGAGTTAGCCTGCCCAAAGCTGCGCGACTGGCTGGGATACGCGGAGACGGAGCCGCAAGGGCGCCCTCGAAACCGGGGCAAGTCCGCGTCGCGGTCAGACTCGCGCTTCCGCGCCCTTCCGAACACTGCGCTTCCAGCTGCCTGGCAACAGGTTCACTGCGGAGAGCCTGAGGATTAGAATACTAACCAGAAGGCCCCGGAAATTCCACTGTTAACATGCGATTCGGGAACTTTTTTAGAAAAGGAAGATTTTTTTTACAGCAATGATTGTTCACTCCTTTTGGGAGCAGGTATGGAGCAGGTACTTTGAAAGACCAAGAAAGTTTGAATACGTTCCTTCGTGCATCACAGAACGAGTCTGTGTAATTTCCGGGTGTTTGAATCCTCCCTGAAAGCTCATCCCGATCCCCTTGTCAAGACCTGCCCCTGGAGAGAATGGGACGCGCGTGCAGTCCACCCTCCCCGTCTGTGGATCCAAACAACCGCAGGTCGAAAAAAATCCAGAAAAAAAATTGTCTGACCTGTACGGAGTTTTGTTTTTTTTTTCCTTGTCGTTATTCCCTAGACAGTGCGACTATTTACATAGCCTTAACACTATTAATATAAGTTAATCTAGAGGTAATTTAAGGAAGCAGCTGCAGTGGGCACCTGTAGTCCCAGCTACTTGGAAGGCTGAAGCAGGTTGGTCTCTTGAACCTAGGATATCGAGGCCGGTCTGGGCAGCACAGCGAGTTCCCTCTCTCATCCCAAAAATAAAATATATGGGCTCTCATATGCAAATGGGCATCTGAGGCTTTTGATATCTTCAGGGGTCCTGGAACTAAGACCCCCACCAGATGTTGACAGTATAATGGTTAAAAAAAAATTGACCCCTACATTGGACATTTAAGAAAGTCATTTATTCTCAGCCACTATGTTTATTTCCCCAAAGGTAAGAAGTTATTAACATCAACTTTACGAGATGTTTTTCTGAGGATAGATGTGAAAATATGTGTGCCTGTGTATCTGTGTGCGTGTTTGTGGGACTAAGGATTGAACCCAAGGTCTTTGCACTGAACTACATCCCCAGCCCTTTTAGTTTTTATTGTGAGACAGTCTGTCCAAGTCATTGAGTTGCCCAGGCTGAGACTTTTGGTCCTCTTGCCTCAGCTTCTCAAAGTGCTGGGATTACAGGTGTGGCCCCACACCCAGCTCAGACATGTGTATTTTGACAAGACTTTCATGCCATCCAGGTGACTTTATAGCATGTTGTGGGCTGCACGTATCACCAGTTGAAAACCTAACCAGAAAATACTGATTCTGGATACTTCATCCCTGTAACAAAATACCTGTGGTTGGGAAACTATCCAGAGGGGCTTATTTTGCTCACCACACTAGAGGTTCAAGAGCCTGGCATCAGTATCTGCTTAATGTTCACAAGGGCATCCTGGTTGCTGGTGTCACAAAGGTGGGGAGAGATCACATGGCCAGACAGGAAGCCAGAGTAGGGCAAGGCTTTTTTTCTACAGCCGTCTCTGAGAGCTAACTTGGGTGCCCACCAGACGTACTTAATCTCGTCTTAGGGCGGCTCCCGGTGACCTGATGATTTCCCGTCAGATGGCACCTCTTAAAAGATCGTGACAACACCATGCCGAGGACCAAGGCAGCAGCACATGCACTTTGGCAGCCAAGCCACATCCAGACTATTCAACAGCGTGTTTCAAAGAGAGGTCTTAGTGGTGTGCTCTCCAGTGTTTTTGTTTTGATGAACAACGACAGCAATAACTCAGAACAAATGCCTCAGGACGCCACATAACTTGCCAGCCCAGTCAGTTTTTTCATGACAGGTAGAACCGGAGTCCAGGTCTCACTTCCAGCCAACGGCCCCTTCCACATGCTCTTGCAATAAACACTGAATACTATCCACTGTTGACTCCGGTTTATAGTGCAGAGCCGTAGTTGGGACCTCATCTTTCCAGTTGTCCCTTGTCCTTCACCATGACCCTTCTAAACCTACTGTCTTCCTCGCTACCTTCCTCCCAACCTCCACCTCACTTCTTGCTTCACAGAAGAGAAACAGTGTCACTTTGTCCTGTTCCCTCGAATCTGACAAAGATGCTCCACTTTCTCTGGAATATTCCTTTATTATCTCTTCTTTTTCTTCTCCATTTTCAACCACTAAGATCCCTAAACTCTACCACTATCCTTAGTATGTAATAAGCATTCAAGTATTTACCAAATGAATAAACCCTTCTTTCTTGGAGAAAAATCATCCCCAATTTCCAAGTTCCTTTCTGTCTCGTAGCTTGTAGATTTTCAGATTTTGTTCTACTCGTTCTCATATTGGTGACTTTTGTTTTTATCTTCAAAGTATAATTGCGGGGTCAACTTGCTGTATGATATCTAGGTTGTTACCGTGTAAGAAACATAGGTTGCCTTAGACTTTCTGGTACTTAACATTGAAATGTTAAAAATATAATTTTTATACTTGAGGTCATACAATATTATGTAAGATTAAGCAAAATAACTTCTTAATTACACTTTGTTGCTTGAGGTAACTGATGCCTTTCTAATGCAAATATTAAAAGATTTATGCTTATAATAGCACTGTAGCTGACTTGCATATTAGAGGATGGATTTCAGTACTTACTAGAAGGACAACTTTAAACCAACTATAGTCAGGAGAAGGGAGGCAGGTTTCACACAGACATCTACCAGCACTAGACGACTACTTTCATTTAGTGAGGCCTTTTGTCCCTCATTTTATGATATAGTCCACCAAAGTCCACCACTATAGTTAGCCAGTTTTTTCTGAAATTGCCTTTCAAAAATCCCTTTCAACTTGCTTTGCCCCTAAGAACCAAAGGATGTTTATAATTGCTAGGCTGGGTTATTTTCGTATTCCTATTCAATAAATAAATGTCCAGCTGGGTGTGGTGGCACATGCCTATAATCACAGCATTTGGGAGGCTGAGGCTGGAGGATCGTTGCAAGTTTGAGGCCAGCCTGAGCTACATAGTGAATTCAAGGCCAGCCTAAATTAGAGACCCTGTTTCAAAAAAACCAATAAATAAATAAATATCCAGATATGTTGGTTTACTAGTTCAGGACTCAGTGATGGAGCGCTTGCCTAGCATTTGTGAGGTCACGAGTTCTATCCCCCCACTGCACTTGCACGCACACGCGCGTGCAGACACACACACACCCAAAATAGAAATGTAACAAGGTGGTAGTGATGTGGAGATGGAATTGTGTGTTCCTTTATGCTACTAAATTTCTGTGACAGTGGCTGCATTCATATTTTTGTCTTATTCTTCCAACTGGGATATATAATGTTCAGAGCTATAGTATTTTGAAGGCTGGAAGGGCCCAGACTTTGAAATAGTGTCTTAGTTTCACTTTCCAAAAAAACCCAAAAAACTATGTGAAGCTTGTGGATTAAACAATAAATTTCTAAATTAAAAAAAAGTTACATGACAGGAACCACCATTGTGGCACTTTTGTGGCTGTAATCAAGTCAAGTCCTAAGTGTCTCAGAATACTCAACTCCTGTTTACCCTCGTGAAGAACATTGCAAGACAGTATTGTTGAATTTCGGCCGTGTTCTGGCCTTTGCTTAGGGTGGCTGGAACCTTGAGACTGAGTCATCTTGTCTTTGGACTTACTAGAAAGCACTCCACAGTGGGAAGCCCACAGAACCACACTTTGTTCCTGAAGTTCTGCCTTTAGCGGAGCAGTAGGGCTTCAGACTTAACCACTCCGGGTTTGGCTCCTGGCCACGCCACTTCTCAGCAGGGTGCCCTCAGAGGAGCTCGGTTCCTTGTCTGCAGTAACACCTTTATTTGGTTGTGGGCTTAGTGTGGACATTTATGTAAAGCACACGGGGAGGGCCCAGTAATGGGCCGTGCATTACTATTAAGACAGTAGCCTCTGTTTTTGCCTTTTCTCACTGGAACACCTCAAAAGTTTCATTATTCTTTCAAGTTGCTCATATTTTCTAGTTCCTTTTAAAAAGATTTTTATTGACTTGTTATAAACTGTTAATGAAATGATAATTCAGTTTGTTTTTCGTCCTAATCAAATATATCAACAAGCATTCATTCAAAAGTTTTGACTTTCATACCATCACTAACACTAAGCCCTGAGTTCCTGTAATTCTGACTAAAAGCAAAGCACTGTGATGTTTTAAACAGAGCCGTTTTATGGTGAGTTTGATTTGTGATTTCTAGTAGGCTTTTTGAAATGTTGCCCAGATGTCAGTGGCTCTCTATCCTACTTCATAGATTCTAGACGGGATCTTTTTCAATTTGAACACATTTGGCTTCTTTTGTTTTTGTTTTTGTTTTTTTGTTTTTTGGGTTTTTTTTGTCCAGTACCGGGAATCGAACTCACGACCTCGCGCTTGCCAGGTAGGCGCAGTGCCGCTGAGCTAAATCCCCAGCCCCCAAACACATTTGGCTTGATGACAAAGAATCATCAAATTTGGGTTCAGCTAGATCTAAGTCACTTTCCTCATGCTGGGATATGATACTCAGTACAACTTAAGGGAAAGTTTATTTTGGCTCATGGTTATAGTCCATGCTCGACTGTCTGTTTTCAAAGCTGAGATAGATAATCATGCACCAATCAGGGAGAAAGAAGACCCTGGCTCAGTCTCTTAAAATCTCTGCTGATGTTTGAAATGTGTCGAAATCCCAATGCTCAGTATCCCCGTAATTCCACTTTGGCTTTGAATGTACACGTTATCTGCTGACTTGAATACGGTTGTTATGGCTTGGACCTAAAATGACACTCAAAGCCTCGTGTGCTTGGAAAGTAATTGGATTATTGGGTGCACTACAGTACAGCTGACTTGCTGCTCGGAGGTGCTCTTCATTCCGATACCTAGAACAGTCATCGAAATAACAGTTACCTTAATCACATTAGCTTCATAGTAAGTGTTGGTAAATGCCAAAGTCTCTTGCCATTATCCACAATATTCTTGATTATCTCTGGCATTTGTTCTTTCACATACATGTTACAGCTTACAAGCTCTTCAAAAAGCTTAGTAGAGATTTTTTGTGAAATTGTACTTAATATTAACGTGACATTAGCTTGGGGGGAGAATTCCCATTTTTAAAATGTCAGATTTTCTCATCCATTTATATTATTCAAGTAGTTTTATAATTTTTAGTCTCCAATGCATTAATTTCTGTTCTGATCTTTATAATTTCCTCCCTCATATGAACTTTTGGCTTGGCCTGCTCTTCTTTTTCTAGAAGTTTGAGGTTCAACATTAAATTGCTTATTTGAACTTGCTGTTTTCCCAATGTGTGTATTCACTGCTATAAATTTGCCTTGGAAGACTGCCTTCATTGTGTTCCATAAGTTCTAATATGTTGTTATTATCTTGTTATTGTAGAAACTAATTTCTTTTTTAACTTCATGTGTGACCCATTGGTTGTTTAAGAGTATGTTATTTATATATTTGTTGAATTTCCATGTGTTTCTGAAGTTCTTGTGGTTTCTTTGGCTATTGATTTTCAGTTTCATTGCACTGTGATCTGGTAATATGCATGGGATAATTTCAA